TATATATATATATATATATACACGATGAAAAGATGAGAGTCCAATGAGCAAGACAGAAGAGGGTAAAAACTCAGATGAAGAATCAGTTGAGGATGACCAAATTGCAGAGCCATATGTAGTGGACAAAGACACAGGGCCAGCTGCCATGTGCCGTCATCCTATTTGGGCCAAAATCAACATGTAGGGATCAGTGATTCATAATTTTGAACAAAAAAAAAGAAAGGTGACATACATAAATGTGTTTCAGTAAATTGATTTAACATCTTATTACAGTGTAAAAGTGTTGTAAGTTAACTATACCAAATATCCAATATAATATTTAATATGTTAGTGTTTTACTAAAGTATTTTTCGTTTACTTAGTTTCATGTTTGTTTTAGAAGATCACAGAATTGCAGATGATGGTACTCCAATGACCCGTAGTGATTGGAGCCCAGCAGTACATTGACAAAACACTAATTCAGGACACCAAAGTCCATCCTCAACAATCCAGGTATAAAATCCAATACCAATACTAATTCAGGGCCTGTTTTTCTTTACCAACCAGCATAATTGCGCCGCTCGGGATGGCTGCATGTTGGAGCAGCTCTGTTACTTTCATTCTGAGTTATTGCTTTTGGAAACTTTAATTCCTCTTTTTTTCTGGATGTAAATCTCTTTTTCCAGATCATTATTTCTTCTGGTATCAGATACTGTGTAGCTAGGAGGAGTTTTACTGAAACCTTTTTATTTTGGACATTTGTTATGATGTGTAACCATGGCAACAAGGTGTTTTTTTTTTTTAACAACCAGGAGCAACTGATTAACATGTCAAAAGTTTAAATATATCAACTACAGCCCCAAATGAGTTGAAAAGGAGGCGCCGTGGACAAATTTCCGTCAACCTGGCGGCAGTGCTCATGTACCTGACCGCCGAGATTCTGGAGCTGGTGGGAAACTTGGCTCGTGACAACGGGAGGACTGGGATAATCCCCCAGCGCCTTCAGCTGTCTGTCCGTGGCGACGAGGAGCTCGGCAGACTGCAGGGAGGCGTGACCATCGCACAGGGAGGATTTCTGCCCGGCATTCAGGCGAGAGGCCCGCCAGATCTGACAGCAAGCTGGATCCGT